TGTTCAGAAGAAGGGCAGAGGCCAGCGAGCAAATCATGGAGAACATGGCAGGTGGAGGGAGGAGCAGGACGAGAGCCAGGAAAGAGAAGGGGAGATTCCAAATCAGTAGGGTAGGATTCAAAATGAGAGCTAGAAGAAAAGAAGCAATCTAGAACCCAAGAGAAGCCATGTGTTCCACAGTGTGGTCATCTGAGTCAAATGCTACGATAGGCTAAGGAAAAAAAAAATGGTTTGAAAGTGGACTGTCCCCTCCCAAACGCATGTTGTGATATGGTTCCATTGGGGTGGGGTTGGGAGGCCAGGCCTGGAAGAGGTGACTAAATCATTAGGAGGGATTAGCTCTTCCTCATGGGAGTGGGTTTATTGTCCTGCAAGTGGGCCGACCTTCATGCTCGGTCTCTTCTGCAGGTGCCTGCCTGCCCTTCCACTTTTCTGCCTTGTTTGGACAAACCGGGAGGTTCTCACTAGATGTAGCAACCTGATCTGGGACTTCCTCACCTCCAAGAACATGACCTCAAATAAACTTCTTTCCTTCATAAATTACCCAGACTCAGGTGCTCTGTGATAGTAACGTGACGCATACTAAGACAACATTAGATATGGCAGGTGTGAAAGCCACTCATTTCCCTGCTGGGCCAAGTTCACTGTGACAGTCAGGTGGCAATTTGGAAGCTGGGATGTGAAGCGTGAATTGTGATAAAGTAAGGAAGGTGAGCAAGGAGGAACCTTTCCATAAGGTAATCTGGAAGGGAGGAGAAAGAAAGATAGGATGAAAGAGGGATAGGGTGCTAGGAGCAAGCAATGGCTTTGTCTTTTGATTATTTAAGATGGGAACTGTTAGAACCTGTTTAAATGTGGAAGAGAAGCACCCCAGAGAGAGGAGCAGTGGATTCAATCCCACCGCAAGTCAGGAGCGCAGCCCACGGCAGGTGCAGGGCTGCAGCAGAGAGCTGAGTCCCCGACTCAGGAAGAAGCTGGGCTTCCAGGGGAAGAGAGAGAGAAGGAGCAACTCAACGCCGACATGGCGGCCGGGGGGGGTGGGTGCTGAGGGAAGGACAGAGGGGGAGCCTGCTGTGGGACGGCCGGGGAGAGCCCCACTGAGGTGACACGCGGCCAGAGGCTGAGGGAGAGGGAGTGAGCAGAGCCTGGGCACGGTTTTCAGCGCCCAGAAGCAACAGCATCTTGGCGTCTCTGAAGGCTGGCAAAGAAATCAGGGGCTGCAGGAGAGAGCCAAGGGCCAGCGCGGGGGCACCCAAGACTCAGACGGGGGCCAGCACCCGTGGAAGTGTGGGGACCGCCGCGAGGACTTCAGTTTGAATTATTGAAAAAAAAAAAAAAGACTTGGTGGTGATTCAGGAGCATTCTTGCCGGGGAGGCAGGCGGGCAGGAAGGAAAGTCATCAGACAGGGGAGAGCGTGACTGAGGTCACGGCAAATGTGGGGAGGGTCTGAGGCCACTGCCTATGGCCTTTCTTTTCGGTAGTCTGTGACACAGGTTATGAGGAGCAGGTGACAGGGATCCATGCCCCTGAGGGGAAGGCTCCGGATGCAGAGGTTGGGGGGGGGAGTTGGGAAGAGCAGCCCCCGTGAGGACCCGGTCTGTAGGAGCCCACCTCTGATGGGCCCTGGGACTTCCTCACCCCAGTAGGCAGCCTGGCTTGGAGCTGAGTTCACAGGGCAGGGTGCAGGACCTAGAGCCGGGGGCAGGGAATTGAGGAGCAGAGTGAGGGAGGGACAGGGACAGGGACAGGGACCCCAGAGCACTGAGTGGGAGGGAGAGGAATGATGCAGAGACGCGGTGGACTCAGGATCGGGAGGAGAGGGCTCAGTGGTGTAGGGACCCCAGGCAGCAGGAGTAGAAGGTCAGGACCAGCTGCAGAGGGCGAGACTGCAGCCGCTCTGAGGAGAGGAGCGGGGGCCTGAGCTGACCAGAGGCGGGCACCAGTGGAGGACTCTCCTGGAGATAAGGAATGAGAGCAGCTGGGAGAGGGCCAGAGGGTGGGGCGGGAGACAGCCTGGGAGCCCTGTTCCAAAGGACATGAAGAGTGCAGTGGCAGAAGGTCAGGGACAACCCCAACAGAGAGAGATGAGGCAGAGGTGGCCAGGACAGCACGCACATCCAGGACCAGCCACTCAGCAGACGGCACAGAGAGCGGATTTGCCGTGTGCTTGCCACCCTCAATCTTACCTGTCTTCAAATCCCACCTGCCTTCAAGAACCCAAAGATCACTTCAGGGGGACATTCGTTTTTTACTACAAAAGATGCGACTTGGCTGGGGATGTGACTCAATGGTGGACCCTTGCCCAGCAGGCTTGAGGTACCGTAACCAAAATAAAAATTAAAAAAATAAGACATCTGGCTCCTTCTTGCCCCTCACCACCGTTGCTCCCGGCGCTCTCCACACAGGTGTCTGTGTGCGGCTTGGAGCTGCAGCTGGGTGGGGGGCCTTCTCTCCTGTGGCAGAGGACAGGGCCTTCTGCTTGCCTGTCTTTGCCTTGTTCACATTTTGGGGTTTTGCAGGACACTTGGGGCATGAATGCTACCATCCTTTTCCCTTGGTTAAGGACAGGTGTCACCTCTGAAAAACCTCCCTCACTCCCCAAAATTCTCAGAAATGGACCTAGTAACCTGTAATGACTGAAGCTAATTGTCTAAATGCCCCAAGGGTATGAATTATCTAGGCTTCTCTCTGTATTGGCAAATTTTCTTGAATCTTGTTTTAGTTTTAGTTAAATAAGGATACTTAGGGGGTGGGTTTGGGTGAAGAGCGAGAGGGATTTGTCTTTACAACACAACCAGACGCCAAATCCTGCTTCTTTGTAAGTCATCACCCTTAAGAAGTTTAGAATAGTCTTCATGTTCATAATCGAACTCAATTTCCCCACTTTATTTGCAAGAAAGCAATAGATGGAGTCTTCGGTTCGTTCACCGTATTTTCCTTGGGTAGAAATCTAGAACCCCTTGTCTCGAACAGTCTTGGGTTCCTCTTGGAGACAGAGATCCATGGTATGGTTTAAAAGTGTGTCCCAAACTCGGTGGCCATTCTGTGGCACTATGGGGTGGTGGTGAAACCTCTAGGTGGTGGCACTTATGAGAGGAAGTTAGGTCATGGGGGCATGTCCCTGGCAGGCTCCTGGAGCCCCAGCCCCTTCCTCTTTGTTTCCCAGCTGCCCTGAGATGAACAGGCCTCCTCCACCATGCTCCGGCCATGATGCCCTGGGCCACCACAGTCCAAAGGACGGGGGCCAAGCACTGTGGACTGAAACCTCTAACCCACGAACCAAGGGGTGTCTCCCCCTGTAAGTCCATTGCCTCAGGTACTTTTCACAACAAAAAAAATCTGAGGAGCACAGCCCCCTGGGCACGGGATGAGTTTGATCCCCGTCTCTAGCCCAGAGCCCCAGCACTCAGCACCGGGGAGATACAGAGGGAAACCACTCTGATCCCCAGATCCTGTTCTTCCCCAGGGAAGAGGCTCTGTTTTCCACCAAAAACAAGATCGTTCTAAATGTCGCTGCTCCAGGCCCCATCTGGGCTCCTGACAGCAAGCTGCCTGCTTTCTGAGTCACATGTCGTCACCCACCGAAAAGCCTCCCGCACCCAGCTTGGCTGGCAGCGAGGTCCCAGCTGGGTGGGAGAGACTCACACATCTCCCCCAGCAAAGCTGTCCCCGTGCGTAAGGGTGACGGTTGTTTCTGAGGACAGAGACGGAGGGAACAGGCAGCAGGAGAGAGCCATCATCTCCTCCTGGTTCTCCGGCCCTTTGAAGGACAAAGATTTAACAAATATTAGTGGACTTCTGGTGGACTTGAACATTTTGCTCACATGAAGATTCACACGAGGCATGGCCATTTCCAAGGGGAGATAACCATGCACGCAGTCCTAGCCAAGGCTGGTTTCCCACTAACACGCGGGACCAGCTGCCTGGGGACAGAAACTCTGGGCAGGCAGGAGGCAGAGCCTGCCCTGGGCCCGAGCTGAGTAGAGATGCTGGAGGAGTCGTGCAAAGATCTGTCTTGAGGAAGAACCTCCAGATCCCTCCAGGTGTGGCTGCCTCCCTGACAGCCCTGCGGCTGAGCCCCCTTCCAGGAACCATGAACGAAATGCCTCAAGAAGGGAGGCATCGAGCTGCAGAGACCTGCCCAGGCTGAGGTGAGGACTGTGTGGCTACCAGTAACCCACCCTGGAGGGGGGTCTTCAGAACACAGCCGGCCTCGTGAGCTTGCGTCTGAGGAAGTTCACGTGCCATCAGAGCAGTGCCAGCCCCGAGTCACGAGTCACGGCAGCCAGGGATTCACCCCGGGAAAGGAGGCCGCAGGGAACTCCCCTGGGCGGGCAAGTGCCTGTCTTCACAGCTGACACCAGGCTCCTAAGGTGCCACGCCACGAGAAGCTGTCACTCTGTGAGCCAAAAGGCCTTCGCCCATCTACACCCAACATTTTAAAAGATGTGACAATATCTGGGCAAGATAGAGCTGTGCGCGTGCCCTTTACCAGGCAGAAATGAGCGCCTCATCTCCCACTTGAAGGCGTGAGGAGGGGATTTATTGAACATTTGACCACGTGCCAGGTCTTGACATAACTCCACTTCACCCTCACAGCAACCCTGGGAGTCCGGACAGCCTCTGTGATTATTTCATAAGTGAGGGAGGGAGGGAGGCGCAGGCAGGTCAGAGCACCCGCCTGATGCCATGGGTGCAGATGGCAGAGTCAGGCTAAGCCCCGGTTCTTCCCTCCACGCTGCACACTGTGTTGTGGTCCCTCTCCTGGTCACAGCTATGGAGTAGCTTTTGTGAATCATAATAAAACGCCACCAGAAGAGCCACCAAGAGCAAAGAGGGGATTGTTACGTACAGAAGTGACAGAGGCCTGACGCGGACTCAGGCTTTTCCAGTGGAGACAGGACAAGAGCAGACTCTCACGGCTGTCGGCATCTCATGCACAGGAAAAGGGCATCCTTCTGGGATCAGGAGTTTAAACACGCTTAAGTCAGTCACCTGTGCTCCACCACCTCTGTCTACACTTCTGTCCTCCTCAGGCCTCAGACGACCGTCTCGATGGAGATGGTGTGGCCATTGCCCTCCTGGCGCCGAGGCTGCATTTCGTCTTTGAAAGCCCTGGTCAGAACCACTTTTAAGGACTCCTTGAACCGCTTCTTCTTGCTGCTGCCCACAAAGAAGTAAATGAAAGGGTTGGCGCTACTGTTGATGGTGGAGAAGAGCAGAGAGAGGTTGTGCAGGTTCCCGAACGTGGACCAGTACTCATAGTACAGCAGGTAGAGGACTCTCATGGGCACGGCGAAGATGAGGAATATGATGATGGTGACCATGATGACCATGTACAGCTTCGAGGAGTGCGGCGTCCACGTGTTCTTTCGGATCTTCACCACCAAGATGGTGCTGGACACCAGCATAAGGGGAATGAAGACCAAGAAGCTCAGAACGGCTATGAAGATGATGACCGCCCTGCAGTCACTTCGGGAGTGACCCTCTTCGCTGTCGATGCACATGACATATTCCGTGGTGGTCACCAAGCAAGAAAGCGCCCACAGGAGGGCGCAGACCAGTGCCGACTGGTGCTTGGGACGGTGGCATCGGTACCAGATGGGGTAGAGGACTGAAAGGCATCTCTCCACACTGATGGCCGTCAGCAAATAGAGGCCCGTGTTGTAGCCAAACAGGAAAGTCACTGATAACGTGACAATCGTGTAGTAGTGGCCAGAAGAGAGCTCATAGTCTAAAGCATAGTCGATGGACAGGATGAAAATACAGAAGAGCAGGGAGATGTCTGCGATGGACAGGTGGGTGATGTAGACCGTGAAGGGGCTTCTCCTCATCCGGAAGCAGAGGAACGAGAGGAGAATTCCATTTCCCACCAGCCCCAGCGGGGAAATGCCCATGATGACCCAGTGCACCACTGGGATGTGCGGACGCGGACTCCCCACGGAGGCGTTCCCGCTGCTCGAGGCATTCAGGGACGCTTCCGCGACAGTCGGGGTCACGTTGGACCCATCCATGAGGAGACCTCGGCAGGGTGCTTCAGGTGACGGTCTGTGAACAAGCCAGACAAACAAAGAGTGAAAAGTGGTGCATTGAAATAAAAGGGAGATTTCTGCTGTGAATCATGACCTCCAGGTTACTTTTAAGAAGTTCAATGGACTGTGTGGCTCTCTAATGATGATAAGATGAGACATTCGTCAAGAGAAAGAACTGATTTGGGGCTGGGGATGTGGCTCAAGTGGTAGCGCGCTCGCCTGGCATGTGTGCGGCCCAGGTTCGATCCTCAGCACCACATACAAACGAAGATGTTGTGTCCACCAAAAACTAAAAAATAAATATTAAAATTTTAAAAAAAATAATGAAAGAAAGAACTGATTTGGTGATGTTTCTGATCCCGGTCACCCCTCATCCTTGGTTACCATCTGCCTGTGGCTCAGGGCCAAGTTCTAGTTGGTGAGCTGCGTGCTTGCCTCCCAGTGGTATGATCCAGAAGCCCAGGAGGCCCTGTCCTACTGCACCTCCCCACTCACACGTCCCTCTGCCATGCAGGTGGGATTCAGGAAATTCCTTCCAGTGGGGCAGGTTCTCCTTCATAATTAGAAGACAAAGACCCCCCATAACTTCAGGAACCCAGAACAAGGACCAGAACTCACTCTACCATGGAGTTAGAAGTTTGCAACTGTGCTCCTCAAATTCACCCGTCGAACAAGTACTCAGTGCCAGGTGCTGTTCTAGGCACCGGGACACAGCGGTGCATGGAACTGAACACACACCAGCCTCTTGGAGTTTAAATTCCAGTGGGAAGGCTGTCAATAGCCAAAGATCAACCACAACGTAAACAAGTGGATGTCCGAGCATAACAGGTGCTGTGGCGGAAAGCAGAGCTGAGCTGGAGAAGGGAAGGCTGGGGTTTCTATTTTGCCTGGAGTAATGGGAAAGATGCCACTCATAAGGTCACTCTTGGGCAAAGACAAGAAGGAGGTAGCTATCCAGCCCTGCAGATACTGGGGAAGAGCTTTCTAGGCAGAAGGATCAGCAAGTACAAAGGCCTGGAAGCAGGAATGAGCTGGATGTTTGTAAAGAACAGGAAGAAGACCAGTATGGCCCAAATAGCATGAGCAGGGGCAGAATCCGGCAGTCAGGCAGGACAGACAGGTGACGGGGCCAGATCCAGCATAGTGCAATAGCTATTGCAAGGATTTCACTCTCACTCCCAGTGAAATTAGAAGCCACCAGAAGGTTCTGAGAGGAGTGACTAACAGGACTCAAGAGTCAACAGCCTCTGTATTCAGATTAGACTCCAAGGGCTGCACAGCAGGAAGAGAGAGGCCAAATTGGGGCTTTTGCATCAGCCCAGACAGAGAGGACAGTGACATGGACTAGACCATAGACAGCAATACCTGGATGGAGCCTGGATACAACTGGTAGAAAGAGAGGATAAGTGTCTAGCCATTTGTTGAATGGACCAGTCAGCAGTGGAGCAAGTTGGAGGCTTCTGGAGCTTGAGAGCCTAGGAGACCGCCAGTGGGGACATCCAGTGGAGTTCCAGGAGCTGGGGACAGTTGTATGCAAGGATCTAAATGTGGGTGCTGTGTGCAAACAAGCGGAACTTGGAATCCTGAGGTCAGATGGGTATACCTGCAAAACGCCAGTCACTGAAAAGGGGAAGAGGTCTAAGGACTGAATCTTGGCACGTTTCAAAGTTTAGAGGAGAGGAGAAGGAAGAAGCAATGGAAACCGAGAGGGCTCCATCAGGCTGAGTGTCCTGAGAAGGGAGGGTGCATCCAGGGGGCAGCCAAGTGTTCAAGGCAAAGGGAGTGGAATCAACTGAAGCTCCAGTGGATCCTACTGGAAGCTCAAGTGAGATGAGAAGTGGAACTCGGCCATGGGAGTGGAGTCGTTTCTGACCCTGATGGAAGCCGTTCTGGTAGAGAAAGGAAAGTAGCCCTGGCTAAAGTGGACTTAGAGAGAACGCATCAGTGGAGACAGGGTGTGGACAAGCCTCCCGGGGCTGGGGAGGGAGGGAGATTTGATAAGTTGAGAGGAATCACCCAGAAAGAAGCAATTGATGCTTCAGGAACGTGGGAGTCTAGAGCTTGGGGATCACTGGCCTGTGCTGGACGAGGAGCCCCATCAATTCGCGGTGACACAGAGCAGAGCTGTGGCCCAGATGCAGCCTGGTAGGTAGCTGTGATTGCAGAAGGGGTAGAAAGAAGTTAGATGTTCTCCCTGAAGACACAGGATCTCTTTTCTCAGCAAACTAAGGTCAAGGTCATCAGTTAAGGGTGAGGAGAGATTCAAGGTTTAAGAAGAGAGGGTGAGAGTGATGTGATCAAGTGAAAGAAAAGACCAGGCAAGAGACAAACAGCAGGATGGCAGGCAGGCCTCGGAGTCCACCAGCCCACGCTCGGGAGTTTGAAGGATGATAATCCAGCTCAGGTGTGCTGCGTCCAGCTACGGCCCCATTGTCCAGGTGCCAGGATGGACAAGGATCTACCCAAGGTTGGAAATATAGATTGGTACAACCGAGAGCAGGGCCTGTGGAATTGAAGTGCAGGGCAAGCGATGGCTATGACCGTGAGCTGGGAAACCAACAGGGTAAGGAGAAAAGTGAGACCAAGAGGAAGATGACAGCAGACAGCAGCGGGAGCATCAGAGGTAAATCCCAGCTGTCCAGGGATGTGGATGAGGGATACCACGGGCACTGGAGGGGCAGTAGGAGGTGGGGTGAAGACCAGCCTCTGTAACTGAGCCGGGTGGCGACGTTCTGGGGTTCTTGGTGTGAACAAGTGCAGGGCACAACCCACCCAGGAAAGGCTGAGGGAGAGTGCAGGACGAGATTAGGTGGGGTCAGGACCTGCAGCCAGAGCTACCAACACAGAGGACGAGATTGCTGAGAAGCAGTGCTGGAGCACAGGCATCCTGTAGGGAACCAGGCTGTGAGCCCAGCTCACAAAGGACCTGGGAGAGCCACTCGGAGGTCTGCAGGTGCCATGGCAAGACAGCTAGGGGGGAGTTGATGGCGCATGCCTCACAGCTGGGTGTTCTGCGGCTGCTGATGTTTGAGAGACGGAGGAGAGGAAAAGAATAATCTAGAATATTCAAAAAAGTCTAATCAGCTCTGTCCACTAGAAATGGAGCATGAGCCACACGGGTAACTGAACTTTTTCTAGTGGCCACATTAAAAAGGCAGGTGGCTCTGATATAAGAGGGGTGACTCAAAATGGGGTTGGGAGGGAGAGCAAGGGAGGAAGATTACCTCTAGATAGGGAATAGGGGTGGGAGGGAAAGGGAAGGAGAAGTGGAATAGCATGGATGGTGAAAGGAGACCCTCATCATTATACAAAATACACGTATGAAGATGTGAATTTGGTGTCAACATCCTTATATACAATCAGAGATATGATAAATTATGGCATAATGGTGTATTAAGAATTGTAATGCAGAATAAATAAATAAATAAATTTAAAAGGTTAAAAAAAAAGGCAGGTGGAATGAGGGAGACCTGGGACAAGGGTGGGCATGCACGTAGCAGGAAGGTGCATCTCAGGGCCTTCAGGGGCTTATGGGGCCAGGTCTTGAGGGATCAGTAGGAGACTATTAGCTGAGGGAGGGGGGAAAGGCATTGAAGGAAAGAGAAGAGCACGGGCAGGGGCAGGGAGACGGGAGGGCACCGGGGAGACTGCACGGTGGGTGAGGTTCCACAGGGAAATGGACGGCCGGGCAGAGCACGTCGGCTTCTCCTGCTGACTGCTTATCCAACTCTGATGCTTTAAAAATTCTCAGGGGTTGTATATTAAACAAATCTAGGTCTCCAGCATTTAAGAAAGCCTTGGATGGGTTTTATTTAAATGAGCACATTGCTAAGAATTCACTGTTGCCGTCTTTCCCAGCCAAACTGACTTTTAGCCTCTACAGTGAAAAAACGGATGAGGAGAGGGGCCTGGAACCCAGCCAGCCCTGAGTGCCCGCCACTCCTGACCCTGTCCTCCCTGGTTCTCTTTGGTCATCTCCTGAGTTACTGGTCTCTGTGGGTGGATGCTTGGGATACTGGAGGTTGGGAAGGCTTAGGGGAGCAGGAGAGTAATTGCTGTCAGCTGACAATACCACCTGACTCAGAGGTTTTCACTTTCAACTCCCCAACAGCCAACAAAGACCACGGAGTGAGCGCTCAGAAAGCAGTGAGGATAGCGGAAGCACTGGCACTGCAGGAGGTCATCAGGGTGACCTCCTGACTCCACGCCCACCCAGTTCTCTCTGGGCTCTGCCCAGACATGCACCCGTTTTTGAAAATACAGCAATTGTTTTTGCAGCGATGTGTGTTGACCTGGCAGGGACAGTGTCTGGTGTGAGGACAGCTCATCCTAACAGTCCCCGCCGCCCCTGACCTGGTCAGTAACACAGTGACCGGAGCCTCAGCTGGGAGCAGAGTGCCAGAGGAGTGGAGCGGGCCGACATCGCCCTTGGAAGGCAGGGCTGGGGCACCTGGGAGGGTCCCATCTCCTCTCCTGCTGCTCACGGGGGGCACCTGCTGGGGAGAAAGAAGCCGGTGGAGCATCAGAGGACCACGGCAGGCTCAAGGCCACACAGCACCCTTCCCTCCCCCCACTGTCCCTTGCTCCCAGCCAGGGAGGCTGGCAGGGAAGGCAGGGTTGCCCCCATTCTGCAGGGAAAACTACGGGTAATACCAAGGCCCGGCTCTGAGCTGCTGCCACGCACCCGGCTCCACATCTGCACCTGCTTTACTGTGCCTGGTGCTCCCAGGCCCACGGGGTGACAGTGTCCGGAAGCTCAAGTGGGTCCTAGGAGGAGAGATGGCCTGACTCCCATCCAAAGAGGAGCCAGTCTCCCTCTCGAAGGAAAACAAGAAAGTCTGTGGGCCACGGGTCAAACCAAACCCCTCACTCCACAGATCGAGAAACAGAAGGCATAGAGTCGGCGTTTGTCACTGATGTGGGAAGCCCTGGGCGGGGACCCCAGTCCCACCCCTGACTCCCCCAGCGCTGCTCTGGGGCCTCCTGC